CTGCTGTGCATGGGGTCGCTATGAGTCGGAAACGACTCGACGGCACTTAACAACAACAACAACAAAGGCACTAAAATCATGAATTAACTAGCTATTCTTCTCTGCTATGTATATTTGGAGGTTGGGGCCTTTACCGTTTATGCAAAAAACTGTAATTTCTTTTTACTTCAATCTGTGTATTAAATTTAGGTTGGAACTAGCATTTCTATAGAAGTTGGTGTTTTAAAGAATAGTCAATATGTTCTCTCTTAAAATAATGTCAGATGTCCACATAATTTTAGATACTGGCTGCTACACTATATTATTTTATGACAGGCAATGCAAACAGAAGTGAATATATTAGAAAAATAAAAAATATCAAGAACTTTCAGAGTGTATGACATTAAAAATATTGATTTCATTTTCAGCAATAAGCTACCAGGCAGTCAAATGTTTGGTTTTTAGTTACAAAAGAAAGTACTTTAAAGATTATGGTAGAAACTGAAGTCAATGCTTTTAATACAATCTCCACACAGCAACAAGGAAGAAGGACGGTCTCATGACCAAATGAAAGCCACAAACGCTCAATTTCAGATCCTTCCATTAACCCACCCAGAAAGCCATGCTTATATCTTGGTATTTCATCTCTCCTATAAACACAGGCACTTCTGGCTTTGCTCCTCCAAAGGGCATTCCCTAAGTCCTAAAATCCTGATATGTTCATTTTATTATAATGACAACATAAAACTACTCACAAAGAATTTCCAGGTTGTAATAAGAAGTAAGTAGTAATGAATGGCAAATGCAAACAGTGAATAAATTCCCCAAATTTCATTTACAAGTAACACAAAAATAACTTCATTTTCACAAATTAATTACCATGACAAAAAGTTTCTATTTTTAATTGTTTTTTAGAATTTTATTGGTTACTAACAGAGCATTCTGACTATACTGTTTTGTTTTTATTTTCATGAAGAAAATGATTTCTATTGGGAATTGTACAGAATGATGCAGAAGGACTTAATAAATTAGCTTAATAAATTAGTAAAATAAAATTACTGTTCCTTCCTAATATGGAGATCATGTGCTAAAAACAAAGCAGAAAGAAATAACAAAAGTAACAAAAACAAGAAGTAACAGAAGTCTCTGCACTACAAAAATAGATCATCCTGCTTTGGTGGTGCAGTGGGTAAGGCATTTGGCTATTTACCAGGTTGGTGGTTCAAACCTACCAGCTGTTCTACAGGAGGAAGATGGGGCAATCTACTTTCGTAAAGATGTACAGCCTTGGGAACACTATAGGGGTCGCTATGAGTTGGAATCAACTCAGTGACAGTGGGTTTGGTTTGGGTTTAGGTACTGTCTGGGACTCTCCATACGAATGACCTCATTTCACCTTCACAATGACTTTATTAAGTAGATATTATTATCTTCTTCATTGATGAAGCTCAAAGAAGTTAGGTAATTTGCCCTAGGTTTCTTAGTGGAGGAGTCTATTCTGTACTACTGCTTCTCATAGATTTCTCTATTTCATTTGTTAATTTTAGTCAGAGTGTTACAGATTGAATTGTGTTGCCAAAAAGATATGTTGACGTCCTAACCCCTTGTACCTGTAAATACGATCTTTCTTTGAAGATGCTTTCTACTAGGTTAACATGAGGTCATACAAGAATAGGATGGGCCCCAATCCCATCTGAGTGGTGTCTTATAATAAAAGAGGTGAAGGAGACATAGAGAGATAAAGGACAAAGACACCATGTAAAGCTGCATCTATCAGCCAAGGATGTCAAAACTGCCAGAAGCCACCAGAAGCTGGAAAAGAGTCATGGAAACCTCAGAAAAGAACTGACATGGCTGATAGCCTGGCTTTGGACTTCTATCTTTCAGAATGGGGAGACAATAAATTTCTGTTCTTATAAGCTACCCAATATGTAATTTCTTTTGGCAGCCCTAGGAAACTGAGACACATAGTAATAACCTCAGACCCTCACTCAGTCCATTTTACTCTAATTTAAATGTAATTCCACTAAATTCTATTATCTGATTACCTAGGATCCAAAACCAAAACCAAACCCACTGCCATCTAGTTGATTCCTACTCATGGTGACCCATGTATTACACAGTAGAACTATTCCATAGGGTTTTCTTGGCTGTAATCTTCATGGAAGTAGATCATTAGGCCTTTCCTCTATGGTGCTGCTGGGTGGGTTTGAACCGTCTACTTTTAAGTTTAGTAACAGAGACAAACAATGTCACCCAGGGACATAAGCATCAAATTAGAAAGACTGGCAAGAGGGCTCTTCTAGGCACAGTAAAGCAGGAGCCATTAAAAATATAGGAATTGAAACAGGAACTCTTAAGTACAGCAAAATGGAATTATGCAGAGCAAGAAAAAGATAATTGCAGTTTCAGAAGGGAGAGGGCAGAGAAAATGGAAAAGGTAATGATCATGCATTTAATGCTCATACAAGCCTCAGGTGTTTGACTTCAATAACCTGCCAATCCTCACATTGCCTTGCATGCATGGTGCCCCTTTGAGGCTAAGAGAGGTCAAGCACCCAGCCCATGCTGCCAAAGCCGAAGAGTCAGGTTTGTCAGGTGCTGAAGTGTTTCTCCTTAACCCTGCCTTGCGTGGATTAAGAAACCAGAAAAAGAAAGAAAATCTTGGAAAGGTTTCCATTAAAATGGGTACAACTGAAATATTCTGTGGCACTGAATAGGGATAATAAGCTTCAGTTATCTGAAAGAGTTACTCATCCAAACAAAATACCACTTACGATGGATAAATGAGGTATTATGGTACTTTTTTTTTTTAACTTTAAAAATGCAGATCTAACAAACATTGTAAATTTAGAAAATTCATAAGCCAAGTTGGGATAATAGGGGATTTTTCATTTTATGTCCTACTTTTAATTGTCTGGTATTCTTTAAACTACCAGTATGGGGGTTTTTACTTAGTGAACATTTGCAGCAAATTGAAAGCACTGTGCCAAGGAATAGAGAGTGGCAAGAGAATGCCATTTGGAAGGGTGAGAAATTTAAAACAGAAACCCACACACATACACACAGACATGCATGTGCTCTGCTCAGTCACACACTCTTTCAGTTAGCAACATCAATTACACAGAAGGGGTGGGTTCATTCCATTATATAACAAGTTCTGTTTTGTTTTTTCCTTTTTTTCTAGCATCCCTGATTGCCTAAAGATTTGTGAACACAGAAACAACAAGAATAAAGCCTACAAAGAATGAGTTACTCTAACTAATACAAGTATTACTCCTGTTCTATATATGAAAAATTAATAAGAGAAAGTTCATTTTCTTGTAAGGTGTCCTGGTGGCACAGTGGTTAAAGCACTCAGCTGCTTACCAAAAAGTCAGCAGTTTGAACCTACCCAGTGGCTCCATGGTAGAAAAATGTGGCAGTCTACTTCTATAAAGATTTATAGCATTGAAAACCCTATGGGGCAGTCCTACTTTGTCCTATACAGTCGCTAAGGGTTGGATGCTGAAAATGGGCATTTGTTTCATTCCAGACTTATCTCAGGAAGCATGCTGTACCCTAGAAATCTGCTAAGTTAACAGTGCTTTCATGCATGTCCTCCCAACACCCCATGTGCCCACCCTTACCCAGGTATAAGCCCTGGTGCCCACTTAGGCATGATTACCCCTGGTGCAGCCCTGCCATCGGCGTCTCTCTCAAGGGAAAGAGCTTGGGGTAGACAATGGTAAACATGGGCTCACTGCACCGGTGACAGTGCCCCAGGGGGCAGTGCAGCAGTTCCAGAAAACTTCTGGGTAACGAGATTGGAGACAGAAAGTTCAAATCTGGAAGAGGAGAGAAAATCAGGCACATGAGTCAAAATTCAGGTTTCATCAAAGTCAGGTTTAGACTTCCTAAAATATTTTTGTACAAGTTCAAGTACTCTCAAGTTAGTGAAAAGTTATTGCATGTTGAAAATTCTGTTATCTGGTAGACATTAAATAAAAATCTAACATTATTTAGAATGAAAGATGGTCTTCACATTATTGATACAAAAAGAAAACCTAAATCTACTCTTTTAAAAGCAACCAGGAGCTGTCCTAGGTAAAAGCGAGGAAAGAATAAGATCAAATATTCTTCAAGAATCAAAAGGCATCAATTTACGCAGAGAGGGTTTTGCCAACTTCTATAAGTTGACAGAGAACAAAAAAAGCACTGGGACTGAAGACTGAACTGACTTTCGTTACGTTTTTCACTAAATCTATTGAGCATTTAGTATTAGTCAAGAACAACCAAGGTAAACCATATTTATTCAAAAGAATGAAAAGGGAGAAATACAGAAAGGAAACAAAGAAAATGATAATGAAAGTAGGCCTTTCTTTGTCTCATTCCCATGAGCTGTCACAAATGAAAACAGAGTGCTTTTTTCCAAGCTTTATCTGAGCACTAAATATAAAAGAAACATTTATAAAGCAAAACATCCTAGTGGCCCAGCGCATCTTGAGCATAAATGGACCATGGTCTACTACTGAGGATAAACATTTCAGTAGACATAGAAATGGTCATACTGAGGTGGGACCTAAAAATAATTTCACCCATGCTTGAGAAGAAAATGCAAATTACCTTATTATCTTTTATATCTACTCTGACCTATCAATAACCATTTATAAAATGTAATTTATTCATAGGAGAATAATTATAATTTACCGTTTAGTTATAAAACACAATGTAACAACTTTGTATTAGACATTCGTAGGTTAATATTAGATGTTTTTATCAGGCCTCTTTTTTTTTTTTTTTAAACAAAGACAGAAAATTTAGCTATTTAAAAAAAACTCTTGAGATGTAGTTTTCTTATAACATCCCTTAGTGTTTTCTTAAAAGCATCACAGTATTTATGAAACTTACACACTGTAAGTCCTTTCCAAAACAAGAATTGTCAGGTTGTGGTAATATTGTCAAAGCCTCCTGATATATTCTCTCCTTTAGGAATATAAATCTCTCAGATGTGAGGAGGCTGCAAGGCAAAAACTTGCTCTGCTAGAAGAAGGATCCAAATTTTCTTTAGGGATAAAATCTTTCCAAATTATTCCAATTGAAGAAAGTCCCCATGCCAACATTTTGCTTAAATCAAACACACAAATTTGGTGTTTCCAAACACAAATTTCCTTCATTTAAACCACACAGTTTAACTTTTAGCCACTATTCTTTGCAACTGAATAATTTAATGAATGTGTTCTGTCTGTAGGGGGTGTTAAAATCATCTGTGTTGATATGATATTAAAACTTATTAAGAATATAAAAAGTCCCAGGTACCTTTTAGAAACTGGTGGTAAGTGCGATACAGACTCCTCATGGCTAACTCTTGCAGAGGCAGGACGTGATCCTTCTCTGTCCCTATGGACTTAACCTCCGCTGGGAGGAAAACAGTGAGTTGCCCTGATGAAAAGGAAAGGAGCTTCATCTCTGAAACTTGAATGGGAGCACCACAGCTGCAGAGAAACAAATGTTCACAGCAGTATCAGCCATAAGGAAAAGACTATCTATGTCAGCAGAAAGGACTTAATCAAAACATATACTTGAAAATTCAAGAGACTGTGCTGATTTGCCAGAATTCTGTCCAAAGAGAATGGATGCTATCCCGAGTTCCTTAATAAAACCTGGCACAGAAATCCAAATCATCAGTTGGAACATAGCTAAGTAACTGCCAAGGCCTAGTCATATCCAGCAAAGGCATATATTGAAGGAATTTTCCTTAGGATCGATACAATTTTCTTTGTAAGCTTTATTTTTCCTCATTTTATTACCCACTTCAAATTTATTAAAATTGAAAGGAAAAATGTATTCTGTTGAGTTATAGTATCTTGGTTTTGTGTACAAAAATAATTAAACCTACAAAGCAAATAGATTTTTTAATAGTATGTTTCTATTGGATCCTTCTATAAATTTGCAGGGAAAATATTCTAGGCAACATCTGCTGAATAAGTGAAGTCATTCCCTGCTGCCCACTTGCAACCAGAAGGCAGAGATGCTTATGTCCCTTCAGCTGAAGGGCTGGTTACCAAAAGCTGTAGAATTTCATTCTACCTCTTGAGAACAGCAGGTTACCTAAAGCCTTAGCACATAACAACAACAATGAAAAACAGGTGCAAACAAGACCTTGGTTCTCCAAACACATTAGATAAGATCTCTAACCTTGGCCAGAAAAAAGCAGTGAAGGAAAGAGAACAGGACCAGATGCAGAAGGCCTTGGTTCATTTGTACACTAGAAGTTCATTTACCAGTTCATTCCTCCAGCCTTCAGAAAACACTTTTCAAGGCACCTATTATATGCCAGTCAATCAAGATACTTAGATTTGAAAAACAAACAAACAAACAAACAAAAAAACAAAACAAAACAAGATGACACCCTTCTTGTGGGAGAATAACAGCAATATAATTGTTACAATGTGGGGAAAAGAAGGTGGTGGCCTAATTGTTAAAGGAGTTTGGGAAGATTTTACAGGAGTTAATACTGGCCTAGGAAACAACAGGCTTTACCAGGAATAAAAAAAAAGGGATAGTATTCTAAGATGAGGGAACATGGCACGTGCAACAAAACCTTGAAGGAATAAGCCAAAGACGAGGACATTGAAGATTTTTACTAATTTCTGCAGTCTGAAATTGACCAAACATGCAATCAAGATGTGTTAATTATCACTGGTGACTGGAATGGAAAAGTTGTAAGCAAAGAAGAACCACCAGTAGTTGGAAAATATGGCCTTGGTGATAGAATAACGCTAAAGACCGCATGATAGAATTCTGCAAGACCAACAAATTATTCACTGCAAATACCTTTCTTGTGTGTGTGATTTGGGTGAAAGTTCACAGAGAAAATTCACTTTCCACACAGCAGTTCACATACACTTTGTCTCATGACATTGACTACAATTTACCACAAGGCAACAACTCTCCTCCCACTTCCTTGCTATTGTTACCTCTTCCCTGTGTCCCTCCATGCACTCCAGCCCCCTGAGCTATGTCCCTGTGCATACACAGCCCCTCTATTCTCCCATGATTGTTCTCTTTTAGGAGTGTATTTATCTAGTGTAAATGTTTACCTCATATGCCTGTCTTTTGTTTGGCTGGAAGCCACACGTGTGGATTCAATTCCAGACCTGAAGGGCAGCCAGGGGCCATAGTCTCAGTGGTTCCACCAGGCTCTATCAGACCAGCAAACCTGGTCCTTCTTTTTTTTTTTTTCTCCCAAATGACTTTGAGTTTTGTTTCACATTGTTCTCCCACTCTATCCAGGATCTCCTACATAGATCCCCCTGAGTGGTTGACAGTGGTAGCTGGGCACCATTCAGTTCTTTTGGTCTCATAGTCATATAGGCTGAAGATCGCATGGTGTACCAGTCGCCTGGACTACTTGTTTCCATGAATCTTTGGTTTTCTTCATTCTTCTTTGCTCTGGATGAGGAGAGACCCATTGTTGCATCTAGCTCTTGCAAGCTTTTAAGATCCCAGTCTCTACTCGCCAAACTAGGAGGTGGAACAATGTTTTGTGTAGTTATGCCAATTGAGCTTGATGTCCCCTGCAACTATGGTCCCAAGACCACAGATCCAACTACTCACTCCCTTTGGGTAGCTGGCAGTGCCCAAGAAGTGACTACAAACTTCTCCCTTGTCAGCTCTACTATACACCTGGGAATTCTTACAGAACATACAAATACACTTAAAGAAACATTCTCTGCCAACCCTATACATGGTCTTGGGCACACTCCCCCCTGCATAGACATAACTAATAGTTCAGCATGCCCACCCATTTGTCCATCCATATGTCCATGTTTGCCTTCACTGACAACTCAGTACTATATGTGCAAAAGGGTTCATCTTTGTTGTCTGTACTTCCCATATACTCTCTTTCTCAATGCCACCGTGTTGATCACTCATGTTTGGTACATTTCATTGCAAATACCTTTTTGTAACAACACAAATAGCAGCTATACATGTGGACTTCGCCAGATGGAGTACACAGGAATCAGACTGACTACATCTGTAGCAAGAGGTGATAGAGAAGCTCAATATCTTCAGCCAAAACAAGGCCAGGAGATGACTGAGGAACAGAGCATTAACTGCTCATATGCAAGTTCAAGTTGAAGCTGAAGACAATTAAAGAAGTCTAAGAGCCAAAATATGACCTTGATTATGTTGTTGTTGTTGCAATTTGCCATCGAGTCGGCCCCGACTCATAGCGACCCCTCCTTGGGTTTCCGAGGCAGTTATCACTACGGAAGTAGGACTGCCCAACCTTCCTTCTGAGGAGTGGCTGGTGGGTTCGAACCGCCAGCCTCCTGGTTAGCAGTCAAGTGCCTTAGGCACTATGCTATCAGAGCTCCTGACCTTGATTATATCCCTCCTGAATTAGAGACCATCTAAAGAATAGATTTGATGCATTGAACACCAAGGACCAAAAACCAGAGAAATTGTGGGATGACATCAAGAACATCATCCATGAAGAAACCAAAAACAAACTCACTGCTGTAGAATCAATCTCAACTCACAGAAACCCCTTCTTGGGTTTCTGAGGAGGTATCTCTACAGAAGTTGATTGCCCAATCTTCCTTTTGAAGTGTGTGGCTGGTCGGTTTGAACCACCAGCATTCTGGTTAACAGTCAAATGCCTTAGGCACTATGCCGCCAGAGCTCCCGAAGCAAGCAAAAGGTCATTCAAAAGACAGGAAAGGAAGAAAAGACCAAAATGGATGTCAGAGAAGGCTCTGAAACTTGCCCTTGAATGGAGAGTAGTTAAAGCAGATGGAAGAATTGACAGGACAAAAGAGTTGAACAGAAGATTTCATAGAGCAGCTCGAGAAGACAAAGTCAATTATCGTAATGAAATGTGCAAAGACCTGGAGTTTGAAAACCAAAAGGGAAGAACACGCTTGGCATTTCACAAGCTGAAAGAACTAGGGGACAAATTTAAGCCTCAAAATGCAATATGGAAAGAGCCCATGTGCAATATGTTGAATGATGCAGGATGCATCAAAAGAAGATGGAAGGAATACACAAAGTCACTAAACCAAAAAGAATTGGTAGATGATCATCCATTTCAGGAGGTGGAATATGATCAACAACCAATGGTACTGAAGGAAGAAGTCGAAGCTGACTGAAGGAATTGGTGAAAAACAAGGCTCCACAAATTGATGGAATACACATTGAGATGTTTCAACAAATGTATGCTGCGCTGGAGGTACTGACTCGGCTATGCTAAGAGACTTGGAAGACAGCTACTTGGCCAACTGACTTGAAGAGATACACATTTGTACCTATTCCAAAGAAAGGTGATCCCACAGAATGTGGAAATTATCGACCAATATCATTGATATCACACGCAAGTAAAATCTTGCTAAAGATAATTCAAAAATGGTTGCAGCAGTATACTGACAGAGAACTTCCAGAAATGCAAGCTGGATTCAGAAGGGGACATCAAGTGAGGGATATCATAGCTAATGTCAGATGGATCTTGGCTGAAAGCAAAGAATATCAGAAAGATGTTTACTTGTGTTTTATTGACTATGAAAAGACATTTGATTGTGCTGATCATAACAAATTGTGGATAACACTGAGAAGAATGGGAATTCCAGAACACTTAATTGTACTCATGAGGAACTTGTACATAGACCAGGAGGCTGTCATTCGAACAGAACAAAGGGACATTGCAAGGTTTAAAATCAGGAAGGGAGTGTAGCAGGGCTGTATCCTTTCACCATACTTATTCAATCAGTATGCTGAGCAAATAACTTGAGAAGCTAGACTATATGAAGAAGAATGTGGCATCAGGATTAGAGAAAGGCTCATTAACAACGTTGAGATATGCACAGGGCATAACTTTGCTTGCTGAAAGTAAGGATGACTTACTGATGAAGATTAAAGACTACAGTCTGCAGTATGGATTACACCTCAATATAAAAAACTAAAAATCTTCACAACTAGACCAATATGTAGCATCACGATAGGGAAAAGACTGAAGTTGTCAAAGACTTCATATTACTTGGTTCTACAATCAATGACAATGGAAGCAGCAGTCAAGACATCAAAAGATATATCACATTGGGCAAATCTGTTGCAAAAGACCTCTTTCAAGTGCTGAAGGGCAAAGATATCTCCTTGAAGTCTAAGATGCCCCTTCCCAAGCCATGGTATTTTCAATCACCTCATATGCATGTGAGAGCTGGACAATGAATAAGAAGGATCAAAGAAGAGTCGATGCTTTTGAGTTGTGATGTTGGCAAAGAATGCTGAGAATACTGTGGACTGCTAAAAGAACTAACAAATCTGTCCTGGAAGAAGTGCAGCTAGAATGCTCCTTGGAAGAGAGAATGGCCAGATTTAGTCTCACCTACTTTGGTCATGTTGTCAGAAAGGACCATTCTCTGGAGAAGGATGTCATGCTTGGTAAAGTGTAGGGTCAATGGAAGAGGGGAAGGCCTTCAACAAGATGGATTGC